ATGCACACAAAACATACAAGGGACCCAACCTCAATCATGAATTGGTCAAGAGGCGAGGCAATGCACAACAATGCACATGCGACCTAAGCATGCAAGCAAACATACAAACATGCAATACAATTACATGGCAACACACAATGCTAACAACATAACATGCACAACGCATTGAAAACATGGCATACACAATGCAAGATGGGCTTACACCAATCAAGTGGACCTCAACCACACTCACATAGGAGGCCATAAGATGAAAAATGAAGTGCCTCGAAATGCGTGCACACGGGACGCAAACTGAGGCAATGGCATATGTTAATGCAATGGCTAAAATGACATATAGAATGCAACATGGGCTTATACTAACATGAGAGAGCCTACAGCCACACTACATAAGAGGCCGATGGATAAAAATGAAGTGCCTCAAAATGCGTGCACACGGGCACCAAACCGAAGGCAATGCATGGAAAATGATATGCAAACATGCTAATGGGATTTTAGCACTGAAATTTGGGGAAAACAGCCCCGAAAGAGGTGAAAAACACACGCCGATGCATGGAATAGTTCACGAAACATGAATTTTGGACCCGAAATGGCCTATAGCTATACCAAACACGCACAATATGGATATGCAATGAATAGACAGTAACAAGGCAGACCCAAATATAAGCATTTACGAGTACAAATCATGGCCAAACAGTAAGCAAAGATAGGGCAACAATGGCATGCAAAATGGCCCTAAGCATGAGGTATGAAGCAACTCACAGCTGCTGACCCCAAACAGGTTAGGAGCCTTCTTCAATATTGAAGAGGGGCCAAAATATGCACATTTACAGAACTGTAAAAACCCCAAAAATAAACATAGATATGGCTAAGCTCTTATGCAAGAAATGGGCAAAATGTGGCCAAAGAGGCAAGTGGTATATGCACAGCCCAAACTGAAAAATTCCCTTCTACAACATTGAAAGGGACCAAAAATAAGCATATTTTACAGAACTGTAAAAACCCAAAAACAGTATACAAACATGCTATAAAGCAATGCAAATGAGGCTCAAAAGAGGCTATAACACAAAGTATACAAAATATTCCACAAACGGCCAAAGACCCTTAATGAAACATTGAATAATGGGTCAAAATAAGACTATTTCAGAACTATAAAAAGGCCAAAAACAAGAAGCATGATAGGCTGCCAAAGCATGCAAGAAAGGGACCAAAAGGGAATATAACATGAAGTGGCAGATGGAGGTCCAAACAGTAATGAGCCCTTCTTCAATGTTGAAGAGGGGCTCAAAATAAATCCTATTTACAGTTTACATCATGCTCCAAAACAGATCACACGCAAGCAAAATTCTATGCAAGATTTATGCATTCAAGAGGATTTGAAGCAAGTGCAATATGGAGGCTCAAACAGGGTTGAGCCCTAAGCAAAAGTGAAGAAGAGCTCAAATAAGGCCACTTTCAGTTAGGGCCGGAGCTCAAAACAGTAGGCACATATGGCTAGGAATGGTGCAAAAATGAGCTAGAAAAGAGGGAAAGTGGCACTTACCCTTGAAGACCACATGCTTTTTGTTGCTTCTTGGACCAACTTTTGATGACTCTAAGCTGCTGGAATTCCTCCCCTTGCTGCTGGAATGGAAGCGGTGGTGATGGTGCTTCGTGGTGATGAAGAAATGAGGTAGAACTTAGGATGTCTTTTTGATGGTTGAATTAGAGAGATATATTGAGAGATGAAGAGATATATGTATGTATTATATTGATATATCTATATATCTCTGGTTTTTTTTTGTTCCAAACATCCAACCTAGACAAAGGGAGAGGATGGTGCTTATATAAGGCAAGGAAGCACTTAACTTACAAGCTAAGTAAAGGGAAGGTCAAAGCGGTTCAAGGGGGGTGCAAGGCTTCTAGAGGAAGCTAAAATAGCTGCCAAGCTTCTCCAAGAAGCTTAGCCAAAGGGTTCAAGCTTCTAGAAGGTTAGGGGGTTCAAAAGACTCACAAGGTGCAAAACGACCACACAAATGTGCATGGGGAATTGAGTCTGTGCCACTCCAGCTGGCACAGCTGGAATCCACTCAAATCTTGCAAGAAATGCTCCGGACGAAGGCGTCGGCCAGCAAAAATGCCGGTCAGCCAATGAAAGTGCGGCTGGCACAATAAATTTCCGGCCGGATAATAGATTGCCGATAGATGCTGCCAAGGTTCAAAAATGGCCAGTGGTGTCAATTGAAGCCCCGGAAGTTAGGCTTTTCCAATGGCGCAAACCTTGCATTTAAAATTCCTTCTGTGTAAAAAAGTTTGCCCTTTTTCGTGAAGCTCGCGCAGATTCGATTCCAACCGGATGATTGCCCGACTTCAAACCAATCATATCTCCCCCCACCACCGGACTTGGCTCTAGGAGATTCTTGAGTGAAAAATGAGCCCCGGAAGTCTTCTTTCCAAACAGTGGTGACCTTCAATTAACTAAAAATCCAAGTGTAACAAATAGATAAGCCCGATTCAGCGAGGCTGCTCAGACTCGTTTCTACCCGGATTCATGCCGGAGAGCTTCTCCGAGAGAGCGTAGTTTTCTCTCTCCTTTCCTCTCTTCTTCACTCCAAAAACCCTTAAACAAAGTGTTTTGAAAGATTTGCCTCTCTCCTTGCCGAAGAAACTGAACATTTGCCCTGTACCCTTTCTCCCTCCGCGCGAAGCAAAAACATCAGTGGTGGCCCAAGTCTTAGGGCGGTTCAAAAAAATGGGATGTCTACAACAGTTGCTGAAATGTCATGCTAAATGACTTAAAATCACGCAAAACAAACCCATGTAATGCCTTAGTTGAAGGCCTAAGCATCAAGCTAGTGAAGTGTATTAACACTAGGGCAATGCAAGACTAAATGCTCAATGGCCAAACCAGCCCCAAACAGACCTTATGCAATGCCCAAAAAATGTGGCCAAAATGAATGAATGA